GTGGATGTTCAGTGGGGAACATAACACCACCAACTTCCTGAGCCAGTTCTGAGGATTAACTAAGGCCATGAGCAAGGACCCCTACACAGCAGCCACACAAGTGTTTGTTGTTGTTACCTCTGCTGTTGCCACTGCCCTCTGAATAGGGTGATGAATTACATGCTGTAATTTAATCCCTTTGGGGTTGAGATTTATAAACAGAGGTGTTCCAACCTTTATAAACAGAGGTGTTCAATCCCTTTGGGGTTGAGATTTATAAACAGAGGTGTTGCTTAACTTATTTTACAGTTAAGGAAATGGAGACTCAGGGAGATTGCAAAGGATTTTTCCAACATCATACAGCTAGAAAGTGGCAAGATGGGACTCAAATTTACCTGGGCCTGGCCCTGAAACCTTGACTCTTACTAGGTTAGTCATTGCATCCTTGAAATTACTTAAAGTACATATTGGAGAAACATGCACACACATACACATGGAAGTGTGTATCCATTGTTTTAAAAGATGCTTATGCCTCTTATAAAATGTCTTAGTAGAATGGCTGATGTGATGTATAATCAATAGTATCTGCTATCTTTGGGTTAAGGAAAAGCAAATGAGACTTCATGCTAATCACTGAATTTATTTTTACTATTTCAAGAACACTCCTTTCTGGGTTGCAGACTGAAGACATGACAGTGGGAAACAAAGAGATCTCAGCTTCCCTGCTCTCCTCCAACAGGCAACTTTGGAACAGATGTGACACCCCCTGTTTCTGTTGGGGAATGTGACTAGGGTCTTAATCTAGTTTCTATTGAATACTGTTGTCATCAGAATTATTTCCAATAACTCATGGGCCTCTTTTGATTCACTTACATTTTAAAAGGTGCTATTTGCTTGATGTCTGTTTTTACCTTTCTACTCTCTGATCAACCTTGTGGTTTCCATATTTGATATAAATATTTAAATTAAACATGACAGAAGGATGGTATGCATTAGGTGTTGTGTTGCACTTGGCCCCAATACCCGGGGCCCAGGTGCAGTCCCCGTCCACAGCAACATGACATCATTCTAGCTGGTGACTTTTATTTTAAAATAATAATATGAGAAAGTCTGGTTAAAGATGGCAAATCAAGGTGACATAGTTCTGCTTTCCTCTCTGAAAGTCACAGCACTCCTTCCTTGTGGCATCCAGAAAGCAGCTTCAACCCTGAGCCACAACTCATTTCAAAAACAGAGAGGGGAAGGTAACAGGGAACAAGAGCTGCACCTGGAAGGATCCAAGAGTGGCTCAGATGGAAACGGAGCCGAGAGCTCCTGTGCGGAGCAGGCACAGGTGGGTGCTCACCAGGGAGGTGTGTTTCAGAGGTCTGAGCAGAGGGGCTGCACAGCTTGAGGCTGATTAGGAGGAAGGGTGTGTACAGGAACCAGCAAGGAGAGGGCCTTGGTCCCGAGAGATGGGCGCACGTGCACACACACACACACACACAATGGAGGGAAGGAGCCATGGAATGGGCTCCTGGGGTGGCAGCAGCCACAGGTCATCCAGCATGATGGGTCAAGGAAGCCTGGAGGACACACAGCTGATCCCCCCACTCCAACAAGCACTTCCTGTCCTCTGACATCCCAAACCTCCAGTCCAAAACCCTCTGCCTGGCGGCCAACTTGAGGCTGGGGAAGGAGCGTGGCTGAGCTTCAGTCCCGCTAAAGGCCCCATTCTGTGCCCAGCCACATCTGTGGCCCATATGAGGGAGCAAGTCCCTGGGCTGGGAGCCAGGAGGTGGGTCCCACCCAGCACTGGGAGTAAATTGACATGTAAACTTGGGTGAATTACAATCCCTCTGCGGCCCTGAATTTTCCCTTCTGTGAAAGAGCCGTAGCCACGTGGCCTTGTCTTCCTCCCAGGGTGGTTGTGTGGCTCCGCTATCAATGATGGGAAATTACCTTGTGCACTGCCCCAAACACTAGTCACGGTGACTGTGAGCATCATTATCCTCGTTATTGTTCCTCAGCTCACACACCCACTGTCCTCCGCCCTGCCCTCCTGGAATGCAGCTGAGTGGAGAGTGAAGAGCCCCGCACTCATGCCAGTCCTTCCCCAACTCTTCTCTCTTCTCCCAGAAGCTCGGCCTGTGGGCAGCTGGTGTCAAGTGAAGTCCTCCATTTTTCCCTCAAACACTCTTCCCAGTTCTGACAACTCTGATCAAGTGGGAGGAGGCCTGGGCATCCAGGAGCTGGTTGAGTGGTTGTGGGAACCTCCCATCCCCTCTCTGATCTCAGCTGCCTTATCCCTCAAATGAAAGTGATGGCACTAACCTCACAGTGTTGCCTTGGGGTCATGTAAGGAGCCCATACCTCTCCCTGTACGTGGCCTCAGCTGCCTGAAACCCACCACGACCAGTGCTCCCTTTGATCTGCCTTGCTTGCTTCTTTCCTGGCTACTTTTGAAGTGCAAGTACCCTAGGAGAGGGACACACAGATGACTGGCCCTGCAAGGTATCCCAGGTCTACGTGAGGTTGTTTCCCATTCTGCAGTGAGATGACGAGGACCAGTAACTGGGAGGATAGGCATGGATTTGGGGGAAGAGTGTCTTAGCATGAGGGAACCAAGCAGTCTTCCCCAGGCCTACCCTCCATCCCAGAATGCCCTGCAACTTCTGCCCTGGCTCACTGATTTCCTTGTTATTCTAAACCTTTGGTCTAAAGGCAGAAGATGGTCATAGGGAGGACAGGTTCTTCAGGACCTGTTAGAACTCTGGGATCCAGCTCCAAGCCAGAGCTCCAGGCCCCATCCAGCGGCCACTAGGGAGACTGCAGGAGAACAGGGCAGGTGAGAAAAGAAACCTGAGAAGGCGGAGCTGGTGACGGCAGGGAGCAGGGAAGGGAGGAGCCCCACTTTGGCCTCCTCCGTGATCCCAGTGAGCCCTGCTCAGCTCCAGCCCCCGCCATGCTGCAGCTGGCATCTTCTCACCGTGTCATCTTGAGAAGGCAACTGATTCCTTCCTCTAGGACTCAGTTTCCCCAGCTGTAAACCGAAGGGGTTGGAGCCAGGTGTGGTGTTGTGCACCTGTGATCCCAGCTACTCTGAAGCCTGAGGAAGTAGGCTCACAAGTTCAAGACCAGCTTGGGCAACTTAGCAAGACCCTGTCTCAAAATAAAATACACAGGGCTGGAGATGAGGCTGGGTGGTAGAGTGCTTATTTCGCATGTACAAAGCCCTGGCTTCAATCCCCAGCACCACCAAAGAAAAAGGTAAGAAAAGGAAAAGAAAAAGAAAGAATTGGGCAGGGTGAGGTCCACAGGGTACCAGCTCATCCAATCCTCATGGCCAGGTAAGGGCTTGATCACCCTCCTCTCCCATACTCCAGTCACTTCTGACCACACACATTCATGCTTCATTCACCTGGAAAATCTTCCATGGCTACCTGTGGAATTCCAGTCATCATTTAAGGTGTGGCCCAAAGGTCACCTCCCCCAGGTGTCTCCCTCCTCACCTGCCCATTGCTCACCCCTCTCATCCGGAGCCCTCTCTTCCTGCTCTAGCTGCAGTCAGCTGGACTTCATCCCCTTCAGCCCTGAGTCCTCCAGCCCAAGGGCTTTTCTCAATCATGTGTCTCCCTCTTCACCCAGAATGCACTGCACAGGCAAGGAGTGCTCCAAAGCACCTGCTCTGGAGTCAGTCAGCCTGGCTTCATCCCTAGGGGGAGGCAGAATCATGCCCCCCCAAAGATGTCCATGTCCTACTCCCAGGACCCTGCGATTAAATATGTGCTCTTACATACTAAAGAGCTCGAAGGGGGGTCACCCGTCATTTACCAGAATGGACCTCATAAGACAGGCCTTCAGAGAAGGGAACGTGATGATGGAAGGAGAGGTCAAAGGGATGTGGGGCCATGAGCCAAGGAATTCGAAACCGACACCTCCAGAAGCAGTGTCGCCCTCCCTGCCAACCCATCGTAGACTTCTAACCTCCAGAACTGTAAGGCAATGATTTGTTGCTTTAAGCCCCTCTGTTTGAGGTGATTTTTTACAGCTGCCATAGGAAACAACACATCCTGGTTCAGCTTCTTCCTAGTTATGTGGCTTTGGGAAACAGCCTCCTTACGCCTCAACTTTCTCATCTGTAAAGTAAGAACGACAAAGGCAATAATTCTTATCCCACCAGGTCATTGTGAGCATAAAATAAAAATACCTGGAAACCCATTGAAATGTGCCCAAGACTAACTGTGCTATTAGCTTAGCTACTACTCTAGGTATAATTAATAGCCAGCTTTCATTAAAGGCCTGATATGTTCCAGACCCAGGGTCAACGTCTTAGAGGAATTTCCTGGAGTTTCATCACCTTTGGTGGGATAACAATTTCAATTTCCACTTTACTAAGGAGAAAACAAAGTGCCCAGGGTAAAAATCACTCTAGAGCTGGGAGCACCTTAAACCTCGAAGTTTAAAGTGCTGCTCAAAATGGTACCAGTTTGTGTTCATTACTGACGGAGGGGCTTGCTTTGTTTCCTTTCTTGCAGGGAATGGCAAAGGGAGGGCCCCAGGTTGGGCCAAGGGTTCTAGCTGATACCTCCTTCTCTTCTCACCTAGTGCAAGGGAGAAATAAAATCCAGGTAAAACCCATCTGTGGGTCCCCACTCTGCCCATCTAAGGGTCCAATGACTGACTCCCATCTCCTCCCCAACCGCCCCCCGCCCCCCCGCCAGTCCTGGACTTTAAGCCAGATTTGGAAGCACCTGGAGACAGGCACAGGCCAGAGTGCTGTGTTAAGGCCTTGTTGGGAGGGGGAGCAGACTTGCTCAGACCCCAGCGGTTGCCACTGAGCCCCTTCCCTTCCCGCATCCTGCATAAGGAGCCATCTGTTCTGGGCTGAATAAACAAGTAGAGGGAAGTAGAGCCGGGTCCCCTGCCGCCCAGCCCGACCCCCGCACAATGCGCCTTTCTCCAAGGAGACGCCACCCGGGCGCCGCGCTCCGTCTGGCCTCCCCTCCTCCTGGCGGCACAGCCAGGCCCACAAACCGACCCCGTGGAAACCAGCTTTGTTTTTTTAAGAAAAAGAAAATAAAAAAGAAATACAACAAAGAACTGAGCGCAGCACACGGTTGAGGGCATGCGGTTTAGCACGCTCAGCTCCCCCTCACCTCCCGCCATCCCCTGGCCCCCAAAGTCTGGCTTCTGGTCCAGGCGAGGCCAGCTCGGGCACAGCGCTGGGAGCCCGCCAGCGCCTCCTACGGACGGTCCCCGCCCAAAGGGTCCGGATTCGGCCCGGCGCGGGCGCCCCGACGGCGCGCTAGGAGCACGGTCCGCAAGGCCGCGCCCAGCCCGGCCCAGGCCACCAGCGGCCGTCACTTCTTGTTGGCCAGTTGATTCTCCAGATCCTCCAAGCGCGCTGTCAACTGGGCCAGTGAGCGGTTAAGGAAGCCTTCGGGGTTGCTGGGTCCCTTCACCTTCCCTCCAGCCCACGCCTCCAGCCCCAAAGGATATGATTCTGCGTCAGGCTCTCGAGCGCCCCCAGCGTGCGGCCCTGGAACTCCACGAGGCTCTCGCATTCGCAGAGGCTCCGCAGTTCGGTCCCAGCGCTGATGCCCTCCTCTGCAGGTAGGGCACAGAGTCAGGGGAAGGAGAAACTGCAGGAGGCCAAGCCGGCCCTGGCCCTGGCTCTGTTTGCCTCCACTGGGCATATGGTTGAGTATGGGCTTTGGATTTAGACAGACCTCGGCTGAGTTCCAGCCACACCGCTGTCAAGTATTGGAAGACTCATTCAACCTCTCCAAGCTCGGTTAGCTCCTCTGTTATATGGATATAATGAGAAAACAGTTCATTGGCGGTTGTGAGGGTTCAATGACTTTAGAGTGGTGTGTGTGTGTATGTGTGTGTGTACACACACAACTTGCAAGAGAGTTTCTCAAATTGTACTACTCGTTGGAATCATCAGGGGAGCTTGTGAAAACATAGACTCTGATTCAGAATGGAGGAGGAACTGAGAATCTATATTTCCGATAAGCCCTCAAGTGATGCCAGTATTGCTGGTCCACAGGCCACACTTTGAGCGGAGAGAGTCCAGAGCAATAAGACTCTTCAATGGAACATTATGCAGTGATGGAAGTATTCCATATCTGTCCCATTTGATGCAGTAGCCACAAGCCACATGTGGCTATTTAACGTCTGAAATGTGTCTGGTGCCACTGAAGAACTAAAGTTTTTGTTTTGTTTATTTTAATTAAGTAGACACATGTAACTACTGGCTACTTTACTGGAAAGCACAACTCCTGACACAAGTCAACACTTCAGAGTGTATTTCAACTACACCAGTGGTCCTCAACTTGGTCACCTAGGAAAGTGTCACAAATGCAAATGTTCAGACTCCAACCTAGATTTACTGCACCAGAAAATCTGGAGTTGGAGTCAGCAATTTTTTTTACAAAACACTCCAGGGTGACTAATGCACACTAATGCTTAATAACCACTGATCAAACCTATCTTCCTACACAGTTCAGCCTTTCAGGGGCAGAGCCTTAGAATTAAAATTTGCACCTGTTTTTCTTAATAGTATATAAAAATGGTACATATTACCATAGTAAGATTCACTGAAATTCTGTCATTGTGTGCCATTTTCAATTTTCCAGAATATAAAGTAGTAAGCAAAATGCTTGGCACTTAGATTTCATAAAGAGTTGCTTTGATGATTTAAAGGTTATCTTTTAATCTCAGTTCTGTATCCTTAGAAAACTGCTATATGTCCTGTTATTAATGGAACCGACCATCATGCCATAAAACTTTGCACTTGGGGAAAACAAGGATCAGAAAAGGGGAAGGTTAATACATCTAATGGTTAAAGAAAGAGCCTCAACCACAGAACCCAGACTTAGAACTCTAGAGCTGAAGGCAACCTTAAGGTTGGGTGGGGTGTAAGGGACTTGTCCGAAGTCACACTGTAGGAGTGTAAAAGTCAGGAATGGAAGGGGCCTAAAAGAGCAGCTAATTCAGTAGCTCTGCAATATTCCGTATAATTATTAGAATTAGCCTCAAGAGAGAGGGGAGAGAGAAATGTACACACACACTGGCCAGGCTCAGCCCCGCCCTCAGAACCTGATAATCTAAAAGAAGAATCACATCTTGTGCCTGGTTAGAGTCTAAAACCCCTGTGGTGACCACTACCTCCAAGAACTTCTGAATACCATCTGTAAGGCATGCACACAGGGCTCAACCGGCCCCTGCTCCCCCACAGGTAGAGTGGTCCCTTTTCCCTCTGCTGAGGACCGAATGAAGCAGATGGATTACATTTATGGGCTAAGTCGTCCAAGAAGTACATGTCTTTGTGTACTTAAAACATTCAGTCCGGCCGCTTTGCCAAGTCCATAAAATTGAATTCCAACAAGTTCAAGGGATACATGCTGTAGCTCCACTTACAAATGTTAAATTTGGCGTGCCTTTGAAAGTTTTCCCAAATTATTCTGAACACTGCTAATTTGGGGGAAGGTCACCTGGTTTAGTGCTTCTTCGGCTTTGTCGTGTTAAAGTGCCAATTGTGATTCATGAGGTCTGGAGACTGCCTAGAATCACTGCATTTCTAACAAGCTCTCAGGGGCCTGCCCAACGGCTGGTCGGAGGACCACACTCTCAGGAGCCAGGCCGTGTCTGGTGAGCCCACCCCTTGCGGTCCCTCTGGTGTGGGGAAGAGTGAGGGGAGGGAAAGAAGAGGTGGGGGTGCTCACCGGGGCAGATGCTGCCTTTGAGGTTCTCCAGCAGGTGCGTCATGGTGCTGAAGTCCGGGGAGTAGGACACRTGCAGCTCCGCGGGCTCCGAAGCGATCTCGCGCAGCTCCTCCTCCACGGCCTTGCCCACGCCCACGGCGTACATGACGATGCCTACGGGACCGGGGACTCAGGAGGCGCCCCCGGCCTCGCGCCCTCCGCACCCCAGCCCAGTCTCCCCCGAGCCAAGCCCACCTTCCTCCTTGGCGCGCGCCGCCCACACTGAGATGTCGTCCTGGGAGCGCCCGTCCGTGAAGACCAGGCCGACTCGAGGCACATTGAGGGCGCGAGGCCGGGCACCCTGTGCCTCCGAGAAGCTGTGCTCCACCATGTGGCGAAGCGCCAGGCCGGTCATGGTCCCGCGCTCCATGTACTCCACAGCCAGGACTGCCTGCTTCACCTCGGCGGCGGTGCCGTAGCGACCCAGCGGAAACTCGGTGCGCACGCGGCTGGAGAACTGAACCAGCCCGATGCGCGTGCCCTCGGGGGACACATCCAGGAAGTCCACGATCTGGTTCACGAAGCGCTTCACCAGCTCAAAGTTCTGTGGGCGCACACTCTTGGAGCCATCCACAAGCAGAACAAGGTCCACGTGGCCTTCCCGGCACCCTGCACAGCCAGAAGGCTTGGATGGAGAGGGCAGTCCTTGACTACCAATAGCAACCATAATGACAACCATGACCACTACCGCCGCCACACCACCCACCTGGCCACTCAGTCACGTTTATAACGCATGGGCCGAGTTCAGCTGTGCCTGACAGTGGGAAATCACCAACATCATTTGGGTGGGGGGCGGTACTAGGGTTTGACCCCAGAGCCGCAGAAAGCTGGAGCTCTCTACCACTGGGCTAAGTTCCAGCCCCTCCTTTTCTGAGACAGAGTTAGCTATGCCCCCCCTTCCTAGGCTGGCCTCAAACTTGGGATCCTTCTACTTCAACCTCCTGAGTAACTAGGAGTAAATTTTTTGTTTTGTTTTCTTTTTGATAGAGTCTAAGTTGCCAGGCTGACCTTGAACTTGTGATCCTCCTGCCTCAGCCTCCAGAGAAGCTGGGATTACAGCCATGCACCTCCATGCCCAGCAAAGCTTCTTTTTAAAAGATAATGATAATTACCACCATTGCTACCCTTTCCTGAGCATCTGCTATGTAGCAGGCACAATTCTAAGCACCACACCAGTATTAATAAAAACATGATTTACTGACAGCTTACTGTGTGTGTGTGTGTGTGTGTCCTCAATACAATATGTATATTCTCAAACTTCCTGATAACCTGGAGTTTTATCCCCATTTTCTATAACCTGAGGTTCTGGAGGACAGAGTGATCTCCTCAGATTCCATAGCTAGCAGTCACTGAGCTGGGACTTGAAGCCAGGTCTGTCTGACCCCCAAACTCCTGCTCCTAATGGCTCTACAGTGTTGCCCACCCTGTTCAGAACGAGGGACTTCACGGGCCCCCGAAGGAGGTTCAACAGAGAAAACGCAATCCCAATCCATAAGGCAACCAGGCTAGAGCAGAGCAACGCAGACGTGCCATCTGCCACGTTAAGGAAAGTTCTGGATGAGAGGGGAAGGGCAGGGGGGGGGGCAAGTCCTCCTTCCTGGGGTTACTGAGGAAGGCTGCATAGAGGCTTTTTATTTGATCTTTCTTCTGCCTTGAACCATGTGTCCCCCCACCCCCTAGTGTGATGATCTTAACAGTGGGGTCTTCAGAAGGCAATCAGGATGGGATGAGATCATCAGGGTGGAGCCCTCAGAAATGGAMTCAGCGTCTGATAAGAGTCTCAGGAGAGCCTCCTCCTCCTCCACCACCGTGTGAGGGCCTAGTGAGAAGGTGTCATCTACCACCCAGGAAGCAGATCCTCACCAGACACTGCGTCTGCCAGCGCCTTGGTCTTGAACTTCTCAGCCTCCAGAACTATGAGAAATAAACGTTGTTTAAGCCACTGCTGTGGGTGGACATGGTTGGCCCCACAAAGTTCAGGTACCGGAAGCTAACGATACTGGGAGGCAGTGGACCCCTTGTGAGGTGTGGCTTGGTAGGAGGTAATGTGGTTACAGGGGCACCACCCTAGAAAGGGCTGAATGCCCTCTCCACAGAATGAGTTAGGGCTGAGTTAGGGACTGGATTATCATTGACAGTAAATAGTTATAAAATAAGTCCACCCCATGTCTTGGATCTCCTCCACATGCCCAACCACTCTCATAAAAGCTCCTGACATGATGCCATCAGTTGGAAGGCTCTCATCAGAAACCAAGCAGATGCCAGCACCATGTCTTGCCTCTCCAGGACTGTCGGTTAAATAAACCTCTTTTCTTTATAAATTATCCAACCATGGGTATTTTGTTATAGCAACACAAAACAGATGAAGACAGCCACTCCGTCTATGGTACTTTGTTATAACAGCCCATATGGACCAAGACAGTCTTGAAGGACTAGGAGGATGGAGTTTGCCAAGGCAGACAGAACAGTCCAAAAAGTGGGAACAGCAATGCAGAGGCATGATTGCTGAAAAGTTCTCAACACACTGAGGAAGGGGCAGGCCAGCATGACTAAAATGTCTGCATGTGGCAGGAGACAGGCTGATGGGCTGGCCTGAAGCTAGACTGTGATGAGTTAAGTGGTAGTTTCAAAATTTTGACCACAACCCACAGTAAGAAAAAAATTGATAATAATAATACTACATCATGACGCACTTCATATAACTAAAGTTTCGTGAAACAATACTTACTCTTTCTACKTGCAGGGAACTCTATTTTCCCATCCATTCTCCTTTTTAAATGCTGGTTTTAAACCACTAATTTGATTTCATCAWCCACTAATGTGGTTGTAGTCACCATTTGAAAAGCTCAGGGGTAAGGTATTGGATCTTTATTCTGTAGGCACTGGCGAGCCACAGAGGGATTTTAAACCAAGGAAGAATCTGATCCAATACGGATTCCTAAGTTAACCCTGGCAGCAGGAAAGAAGACTGAGGAGAAGACTGGGAGACAGGCAGGGAGCCCCACCCCCGACAGGCACACCACACCTCCTAGGACCCCGCTCAGGCAGGGGGCAGGGGGCAGAAGCAGACCAAGCTCCCTCACACCCTTGACTCACGGAGGCAGCTCTTGCCGTCCGCCTGGAGTCGCCGTCCCTCTGGGCACAGGCAGCGGTAGGACAGGCCCTCGCTCACACACTGGAACTCGCAGCCGTGGTCCACACCATTGCAAAGGTCCCTGACTTAAAAGAGGGACAGACGGGATGAGTCAGGGTGCTGGCGGCAGATGAGGTCTCCTGCCCCTCCCCAGAATGCAGGACGCCCTCACCCTGACAGGTCCTCCCGTCGGGCAGCAGAACGTGGCCCTCTCTGCAGCGACACCGTGGCCCACCGAGAGTGCTGACACACTCGTGCTCACAGCTGTGGTTCCCAAAGCCGCAGTGGTTAATGGCTGAAGGGGACAAAGAAACACCAGGAAGTCCTTTCGGATCAGAGCCACCAGAGGCCTTGGTCCAGGGGGCTGGTGGGTGGCGGGGGCTGGGACTTACTCACCCCTGCAGCTCCTCTGGTCCTCTTGGAGAACRAAGCCGGCTCGGCAACGACAGAAATAGGAGCCCGGGGAGCTGACACAGTGGTGGTCACAGCCATGGGTCCCTTCAGCACACAGGTCTATGGCTGAGGATGAGAGGGGGTCAGCTTTGGCCCAGAACCGCACCCCTCAGCCCTAGCAGCATGAACACCAGGGAGCCTGTTAAGAATACCCATGCCTGGACCCCAACCCCAAAGACCTAGACCAGTTAGTCTCGGGGCACCCAGGCACCTGTAACTTCTGTATGTTTTAGCCTCCTTCCTCGGTGCCAGGCCACCCTCCCTACTGGACACATCCCAGAGCCAGTGTGCCCATTAYTGAGCCAGTCATGAGAATGAGAAGCCACAGTCATAGAAGGCAGGGCCCCTGTCTTCCAGATGCTACTGACTTCTAGGGGAGGACAAGGCCTGGCCACTTGACCTCTCTGAGCCTCCATTTCCCCATCTGCAAAATGGGAATATAATGGAGGATGGCCATTGTTGTGTACAGTTTCCTTCTGCTAAAGGAAGGCTCTTGCCCTGTTCAGCACCTGGATGGTTTGGAGGTGTGAGGAATGCAGATTAGCGCTGGGAAGGGGGAATCTGCCTTGAAGAAAAAGAACACAAGAGACGGTTTGGAGATGAGCAGCTCTGTGGGCTGAAGGTGCCCRTTAAAAGTCCCTGCAGTGGGCTGACCGACCGGGGGCTTCTAGGAATAAGGGCATCACACATTCACTTATAAACAATGGGGTTTTCTTTCTCATTTTTGACTTTATAAGTGTAACTCACATCCCTGACAGTCATTCTTTAGTAAAATGGATATACACACAGGCACAGGCGTGCACACACACACACACACACACACACACACACACACACACATACACCCTTGCATGCCCACAAGCCTATAAAACAAAGAAGAGGCTGATTTACATGCATGACACAAGAACAGTATGTACAGGGTCAAAAACTGAGAAAGGACCCAAAATCTAATGAATGCAGCAGAAGAGATCTTGAGGAGGAATTTGAATGTTCACAGTCCTCAAATGGGGAGTTAAAACCAGACTTTAAAAAGTTTCTAGAAACCCAGGTGGCATCTGGGTTATTGGGATCACATGATCTCCTCTTCCAAGTCATTGTGAGGTCGAGAGCTAATGTTTAGAGTCCTCCTAGCACMATGCCTGACATTAACTTAGCAGTCAGGAATAGCAACAGTTACAATTACAAGAGTAGACTCTTGAACATGTCACAAAGAAAAACCCAATTGTGTAAGCAAGGAATCACGGGCCAGAGCTTCTCAGAAGACAAAAAAAATGAAGAACAAAGTCGTGAAAGATGTATACACTCAGGAGGCTGAGGCAAGAGGATCACAAGTTCAAAGCCAGCCTCARCAACTTAGTGAGACCTTGTCTCTAACTACAAAATAAAAAGGACTGGGGAGGTGGCTCAGTGGTTAAGCACCTCTGGATTCAATCCCTGATTCCAATGAAGGAAAGAAGGAAGAAAGGAAGGAAAGGTTTGCGGAAGCAGAGGGGAGTAGTCAAGGCTGCCCAGGTGAGCTCTACAGAAACAGCTGAGGTGCAGAGGCAGGAAGAGCAGCATGTGGGGGGACCCCACTAACTGTTGAGGACCCCAACAGTGTCCAAGTAACAGACACGGGGAGGAGACGGAAACACTTTGGGGAGAGGAGTGAAGTGAGTTAGGAGACTGGGCTAAAAGAAGGAAAAGAGGCTACAGAAAGTAGCTCAACTACGGGGTCAAGATTCTTAGCCCTGGTCCCACCAGGACCTGGTGATTTCCTCTTCCCTGGGCCTCTAAGGTGAAAGAGGCCAGTTTTTACTTCCCTTCCAAACTCCTTCGTTCCCACCAATTCTGGAGCTACACGGAGCCAAAGAAGGCTCGGGAGTAGTGAGATGGCAGGGCGGGGTAGTTCTCACCCAAACAGCTCTTGTCATCTGCTGCTAGCTTGTAGCCAGAGTTGCAGGCGCAGTAGAACGTTCCTGGAGCGCTGACACACTGGTGTTGGCAGATGTGTCCCCACTCAGCACACAAGTCCTTCCCTAAGGACACACAGCATGAGAATCAGCAGGAGCCAGAAGGGCAAAAGCCTCCAATGAGAGAGCTGGATGGGGTGCGGTCAGAGGCAGCACCATCCTCAAGTAAGGCCTTGGGTGGGATGTGATTCSTGTGAGGGGGTCTGTCCAGGTGGGAGAGCTTAGGGAAAGAGGAGGGCTTGAGCAGCTCCGATGAACAGCCACARAGAGATGGCTCGGGACCCACGTGTCAGTAGGATAGGCAGGACCACACAGGGGTAAGGACGGTGCAGAGAAGCGCTTACAGAACAACTCAGAATGCTCAGACCACGCAGCGTTAGTGGAAATAGTTAAACGGAGTGGGAGGGGCCAAAACCAGGTGGGCGGGGCGGGCCTTGCTCTCAGCTTTGAGGGACAGTAATTCTTGCTGAAGGCATTTGGTGTTGGAGTTTGACCCTAAGGTCAGGGTGAACCGCACCCCTCCGCCGGGATGGGAGGGGACTCCCTGTGAGGGAACAAGAATCCAAACAGAATTGGAGCCTCGCTGCAGCGCCCTCCCACTCACCGCACAGCCGGCCCTGGAACTGCAGACCGAACTCCCGGATAAGGTCAAAGGACTCGACCAGGAAGACGTGCTCGTCCAGCGGGGGCGACGCCATGGCGCGCAGGGAGCCCACGTCGGCGCGCTGTACCCCCACCGCGTAAATTTCAATGCCGCGAGCGCGCGCCTGCGCCGCCACCTCGGCCACGCGGTCCTGCGGCCGCCCGTCGGTCACGATGACAGCGACGCGCGGCACGCGCTCCTTCGGCGGGCGCGCCCCTTCTGCCTCGCTGAAGGCCACATTCATGGCGTACTGGATTGCCAGCCCAGTCATGGTACCCTGTGCCAGTGGCACCAGGGCGCGGATGGCGCGCTCCATGTCCTCGCGGCGCGAGAAGGCGCCCAGCGGGAAGACGCTCTGCACTTGACTCGAATACTGGATCACGCCGACACGCGTGGCGTTGAGCCCCACGTCGAGGCTGCGGAGGAGGCCCACTAGGAACTGCCGCATTGTCTCGAACTCAAAGGGGCGCACGCTGCGGGAGCTGTCGATCACAAAGACCAAGTCCAGCGGCCCAGTATGGCACTTGGGACCTACAGTGGAGATCAGGAAGGACTTTCTTAGGTTAGCAAAGTCTTACCTCCAAAAAGACACGTCCACCCCGGGAAACCCAAGAGAAATGATGCTATTCCGGTTTAGCAGTGCCCAGCATAGCATTAACCTAGCCAAGGCAGGTTAAACACCCTCCCTCGTCCAGCATTTGCTGAGAAACTGGGCTAGGAGATTGCACACATTCCCATGGACACTTCTGAGGGCTACTCTGGGAAGGCATTATCCATTAAGGAAAGGGCGAGGAGCAGGTGTTGAAAACTCAAATGCCAATAAGCGTCAGGCAGGCAACAAAAATGAATGACCTGGCTGGCTTAGGGCCGTGGACACGCGGCTTTATCCCTTCTAAACCGAGCAGCTCCAGCCAAAAGTTGCCATGTGCTCACGAGGATTGAATATTATCAGGTCCTTGGATTTTTTTTAAAAAAGAAATCCCAAATCAGAATTTGTGTGTGAAATCTCTTAATTTTTCCATGTTTTCAATAAGTTTTTAAAAATCAAACCCTGAATGGACAGTTCTGCATGAACCCAAAACTAAGCCATATCCTAGAGGTGAGGCCCAGAGAGGCAGGCGAAGTGTGAATCTCAAACCCAGTGAGTGCCGTACGTTTCCAGGCTCAGGCTTCTCCCCCCCCCTTCCCCTCCCCTCCACTCCCCACCCCCCAGTTGGCTGCTGAGGGCGGGGCACCYGCTCACCTGCGGGCTGCTGCTGGGTTTCCCAGGGCTGGAGAAGGAGCAGCAACGTGGCCAGTGGCCAGCAAAGAAGGCCTCTCATATTGCTTGGGGGACAGAGAAGATGTCAGAGCCTGGAGGGAGACAGTAAATTAGAAAAGCAATAGTATTGACAGAGCTCTTATTCTGGGGAATGGATACTTGAAGGGGAGAGGAGAGGGTCATGGGTTATTTTACTAATCTCTATTTTTGTGTATGGTCCAAACGTTTCTCTCTCTCTCTCTCTCTCTCTCTCTCTCTCTCTCTCTCTCTCACACACACACACACACACACACACACACACGTCATCACACTAGGATTGCTGGGAAACACAAGAGATTCTTTGTAGAACTGTAGAAAGTTATACTTTGTAGGATAGCAGAATAATAAATAAATAGTAGCTTAAATATACAAAATTTTGAAAGAAAAAGACCTTCCTAAATACCAGGTACAGCGTTAAATGCTTTTCACGCCTTGTAGCATGTAATCCTCTCTCCAGCTCTAACACCAAGGTTGCTGTTGTCCCCACTGCACAGAGGACAAAACTCAAGAAGAGTCAAGAGAAGTCAAGCCCTGGTACCCAAAGTCATGCGGCAAGGAAGTGGCTGCGCCAGGATAGTACCCTAGTCTGTCTGGTTCTGGGAGCCAGCCGGAGGGCTCCGTGCCTCTTTTCCCAAGAGGCGAACCTCGGCAGACAGAAACCATTCACCTCCTCGGCCCTCCCCTCCGCACACAGGAGCTTCTGTATGGCTGTCTTTGCAAACCCGAGTCCTTTCCCCTACACCGCCCAACCGCAGGTGGCGCCGGAAGGGCMGCCCCTTTCTCAGGCTCGAGTGTGGGGGTGGTGGGCAGTGATCGGCCAAAGCCCACCACGCACAACCAGGGCCTGGGTGCCTCGGTTCCCCGCCTGCTCTCAGGAGAGGCCGCCAGGGGGCGTCGGGCCTGGCTGTGGCGGTCTAGTGGCCGTGGGAAGCCCACATCTGCCCAGCAGGTGTCCCTGCCCAGAGCAAACAGCCGGCCAGGAGCCCGGAGCCTTGGAGATAAGACCTGCCTGGAATATATCCCGCACAAGGCTCTGGGAGCAGAGTTGTGCAGAGTTCCGAGGACGGTGGCACTGGACTTGCCCAAGGGCAGCGAGAGATCAGCCCSGGCCTTGCAGAGTGGCCATGGACCTTATGGGGGCAGCAGGTGAGCCCTCGCCCTCCAGTGGCCCCCGACGACATCCCTTGAGAATAACGGAAGGACCCCCACCCCCCCACCCCCTTGAACCCATGGAAAAATTGAGTCCCAGGAAGACAGCCCGCTGAGCTGCAAGGCAGGACTAGAATCCAGGGATCCCGGTTCCAGGCTGGCTCCTAAGCTGCCTAGCTCTCCGAGGCCTAGGAGTCGTTACACCTCTTTCCGTTCCTTTCTCTACCCCACCCCTGCGCCCCAAGTTGACACTGCGGTAGCCATTTTTCTTGTGCTGTTTCTTGGCAGAGAGGGCCACCCCCCCTTACCCAACTCCCCACCYCCCAATTCCATGAATGGGCCTATTCTGAGCAAGGCCGGGGCCTGAGGATCGCTCCAGAAGGCTTTCCCGCCTGGGATTCTTCTCCCCCTTCGCCTTCCAGGCCTAGTGGAGGAACAACAATCTCTCTGGCAGGGCCCACCGTGGCAGGGTGACTAAGCTAAATGTGCCCCTTGGATCTGCAGCTGCTRGTGGAGATGGGAGGGTGGGGAGAGCCTTCTCTTGCTTGGGTCACAGCAGAGGACCCCTGGGTAGCTTGTGGGTAAAAGYGGGAGGGCCCTTTGCCATTCTCCAACCCTTCATGCCTGCCTCTGGAGCCCCCCAAATCCTGATGAGGGTCCCCTTATCCTACTCTTGACCTGAGCCAACATACACTTGGCTCTGCCTCAACCCCAGGAATCCTAGAAAGTGGAAATAGGGACTGTGGAGAAGCCCATCACTCATCCAGCCCCCTACCCCCAGCCTACAGAAAGAACTAAGCCCAGAGAGGACCATGGGGGTCTTCACCCAATGTCACAGCAACGTGGTCACCTGGATGACACTAGAGCCCAGGACTCCTCTGAAGAGTTAATCCTTGGTTAAAGGGAAAGTTTGGCTGATGCACTTAGATTGGGGAGAGTGGACTTGCAAGGGAGGGCGGTCTGTGCAAACTCTTTCAAGGTCCCGAGATTGAACACCTGGGTGCCTGGGCCTGGGGGTGGAAGATTAGGGAAAGGGTGCTCCCCTTTTGTCGGCTTTTCTCGTGGAGACTCGATTTGGAAAGGTCACTGCAGGTCAGATTTAGGCACCGTGGCGGTGCCTCCTGGGTTAATTGCGGTCTCGGGGTCGGGCTTGACACGCGCTCCCCTGCAGAACCCTCAGTGCCCCMGGGCCCTCTGACTCACCTGAGCCTGCCAGACAGCTCGGAGGCGCGGCCGCAGATCGGAGCCGACGGGCGGAGCCTCGCGGGCAGTTGGACCAGGTAACGACGTGGGCAGCGCGCCCTAGGTGGGACTGCCAGGCAGCTGGAGCGAGCAGAGGCGGCGGCCGCATTTAACCCAAGGCTGGYGGGTGGGGAGGGGGAGCGCGGGCTGCGACCCTCCCACTGGCAGGGAGCGATCCCCCCTTCCCCTGACGACTGGGGCGGGGCAAGCGCAGCGTCCCCTGTCCCTGCCGGGTTGGAGCTGCAGGCGCGAGCTGCCGGGCCGGAATTCCGCTGCAGCTGGAGACGGGCGGCGACACTCGCAGCCGGAATGCGCTGGAAGCCTACGAGGCACTTCCCCGAGGAGAGCCCCAAGAGGCGGAGCGGCCCTGGCTTTGGCCGCCCGACTGCCTGGCCCGACGTCCGAGGGCCCGCCCGACTCTTGCCCTCCGTTGTCCCTTCCAGGAGTGAGGAAAGGCCTTGACTCGGGTCCCACCAAGAGGGTAAAAGGCTCAAACGCACAGCTTCAGGGATAGTGGCTCTCTGGGCCCCAGCTTGCTAGTTCTCAAATTCTCTCCCACCAGAGACTCCTTTACATGCGCCCTGCCATGGGGCAGGCTTTGGGTGCACCCACCCTCACCCATTCAACCCCCCATGCTGCGAAGCCACCAGAAACCCCGGGCTCTGACCTGGCTTATCCTGCAGCGCCAATGTAATCGACTTTGATTCCCTGTAATCAAGGAAAGGAAAGCCYGCATGGCATTAGGCCCCTTCTCATGGGAGAAAGAGTGGAATGTTGCTTTGGGCATAGAAGATCTCAGCTGCCCCCCATCCCGGGACAGAGTTGGGGGTGCTTTTCATTTTTGTGGAGTCTGCTGGCAGGAGGTGAGAGAGCARCACTCTGGGCCCAGTTCCAGCATTTCCCTTTGGCATTCTCTGGGGATGGGGAGGCTTAACGACCAGTCCCACATACCCCATCTCAAGGCCAGCATAAGTGGGGCCTTTGTGTCACAGCTATGTCTCCCTGAGGCCCCAGAGTGCCAAGGGGCAGGCAGGAAGCCAGACCCATAGAGTGGCACCTGGGTGGTCCCACTGGGCCCCATGCATGCTTCATTGAGTATCTCAAAGTCCAAATATTTAGCCCACAACTTGCATCTAAGTCCTCTCCTTGGACTAACACTCCCCCMCACACACACCTTGATCCCTAGGAAGCAGAATGTATAGTAGCCCCATCCCAATCCCACCCCTGCCCTGCTTCATTTTACTCAACYGGAGTGGTGGGCTATGTGCCACCCTCCCGTGACTCTCCCTGCTGTGGGCCTGTCCCACTCCTAGGTCCTCCCCGGAGTGCACCACCATCCTGAGGGAAGGCGTGTGCAGGTGTCTGCAGCAAGGATGTGAACAGACAGTGCGGATCCTACATGCCAAGGTAGCCCAGAAATCATACGGAAACGAGAAGCGGTAGGTGCCTCCGTGGCCCTCCCAGCTCCCTGTGGCTTTCAGCCCCAGGCACCCCTCTGCCCTCCTGCCAGGGGACTTAGGGCTGAGACCTCAGCTATTGACTGATCAGGGGACCTGTCCCTCCGCCAGCATGCCCCCCACTTTGGTCTATAGCAGAACCTCCCCGTGACTCTACCATCTGCACTGTCTCACTCCACTCGTCATCCATTCAGCCACTTTTGGAGTGCCTGTCATGTGCCAGAYTCTGCTGGGCACTGGGCACACAGTGGAACAAGACACAGTCCCTGCCTTCATGGTATTTTCCTTCTAATGTGAAGAGACAAACTATAACCTCCCCACAAGTGAGCAAATAAGATATTTCCAGATCATGGGGAAAGTTAAAAGGAAAATAAAACAAAGTAATGTCACAGAAATTGAAGCAAGGGTATTTTAGCTTGGAAGATGAAGGAGGAGACTCGAATGTTAAGATGGAACCAGCCATGAGGAAATCCAAGGGAAGAATGTTCCAACTACAAAGAACMAAATAATGCAAAGACCCTATGGCTGTACCAACTATGTTCGAGGCACAAAAGAAGGCCGAATGGCTGGAGGTAGAGGAAGAGGGGGGAGTTAGAGGAAAGAGTTGGAGAGGTAAGCAGGGGCCAGATCATGTGAGGACTTGGCATTTTAAGCCACTGGAGGATTTCAAGAACAGGAGTAACATGATTTGACTCATGTTTTTTAAAAAAGCACTCTGTCTGCTGTGTGAAAAATAAGTTGAAGGGTGCAGGAGGACAACAGAGAGGCTGGCTGGAAGGCAGATGCGTGGTGCAGGCAGAGCAGGGGTGGGAGGTGGTAAGAAGCCCGTGGATTCCGGAGGTTTTGAAGGTGGAGTGGGGGTACTTGCAGATGGATTGGGCAAGGGGTGTAAAGAAAAGAAAGTTCCGACCTTAATGGGGTTCACAGGAATGGAGGAGCCTAGGGGAGAAAGGGAGGCAGAATCAAGGGCTGGGTGGGTTGGTGATGCTTACCAGACAGGCGAGCGGAGATACGAACCCGGCACTCTCCTGTCTCGGTAGGTTCTTCTGCCCCCCGCCCTGTGTCTACCTCGCGGGTCCCGGCTGGAGGGTGAAGCCAGTGCAGGGTCAAGGTGAGGGCGCCCTCAGGGGACGTGGGTTGCTGGTCTCTGCAGGGAGGACTGCGCTCTGGGCCTGGGAACGGGACGGTTCGCCGGCGCAGCCTCGCTGCACCCTCTGGCGGTGAAAGCTAAGGTTGCCCGGCGCCTGAGTCCTGGGATCCTGAGTCCTTTTAGAGCCGTTCGCGCCCCTGTCCAGCCCACCAGGCGGGGGAGACCGGGCCTACAGTCTGCGGTTACATGGGACTGGACGGCGCGTCCGGCAGCGCGGCCGAGACGCAGAAGCTGAATTTCGAGGAGCAGCCGGACTCCAGGGTGAGAGTGCACAGGGGGGAGCCCGGTTCCTGCTCCATGCCCGCCTTTCTGGAGAGGAGCCCCTGAGCCTCCTTCCTAACCAGGAGATAGGCCGGGAGGTCTGGAGGTCGGCAGGTCAGAGGCCGAGCTCCTGGAGCCTCTGGTCACCTCCATGGGCCGGACGTCAGATAACAGGGGGGCGGGGTGTGGAGGAGGGCTGGGATGTGACGGTCCCATGCCTCGAACCTGTAGGAATTCGGTTGTGCCAAGACCCTGTACATCTCCGACGCCGACAAGAGGAAGCACTTCCGGCTGGTGCTGCGGCTGGTGCTGCGAGGGGGCCGCGAGCTGGGCACCTTCCACAGTCGCCTCATCAAGGTCATCTCCAAGCCGTCGCAAAAGAAGCAGTCGCTGAAAAACACCGACCGTGAGCCGAGGAGGGGCCCGACGGCGAGGCAGGGCGGGAGGTGCCACCAAGTCAAGAGCCGCTGAATTGGGAGAGGGACSTGATGGGGGGCGTGGGGCGAGATGTAGGTGTGGGATCCGAGTGACCAGGGCCGAGTCCAGGYGAGAGGGGGTCCGGTCTGGATGAGTGGGTGCCGCTTAGGCCTGGAGATGTAGGGAGCCAAGGCTGAGGAAAGGGGAGGCATAAGCTGGAGTGGGAGTAGGATGAGAGCGGTGCTCAGAACAGACAAAATCACTGCRGCTGGCAATCTAGGGACAGATTCAAAGTGAGATAGAAAGGTCTGGGGTTGGATCAGTGCTTACCTGTTCAGTTCCCAGCACTGGGACCAAGGGGGATGGCAATAAAGTGACAGAGAAAATCCAGTTAATAGTATTTGTAGAGCAGGGTGTGGATGTGCCTATAATCCCAATTACTCGGGAGGCTGAGGCAGGAGGGTGGTTTGAGTCCAGGAGTTAGAGACTAGCCTAGGCAACATAGTGGAAACCCTAACTTTAAAAAAAAAGTATGGAGTGCCTGCTGTTTGCCTGACTTTGTGCTGGATCGTATATGATAAGACGGGTGTCTCTTTCTAGAGGAAATATAGCCTTGCRGGGGAGACATGCACCGTGGATCGCAGAAGCAATTTGAGATACACACTGTCCTGATGTCAAGTGGCAAATCCCAGGCAGGAGCTCTAAGAAAAGGCTGGGAGGGGYGTGTCTGAATAACAATGACACCCCACTCCCATGGCTGGGTGGTAAGGGAGTGAGAGGGGCTTTCTGAGCTAGTGACTACAGACATCACCCTGTCTGATGCTCATCCTGTCCCTGTGAAGTAGTTCCYATCATTGTTCCTATATGGAAAATGAAGAACATTGGGTTTGGAATATTCATCCATTCACTTAAGAAATAGTTGGAGCTGGGTGCTGTGGCACATACCAGTAACCCAGCTACTCAGGAGGATCGCAAAGTGAGGCCAGCCTGGGAAACCTTGTCTCAAAACAACAACAACCAAAAAACAAAACAACAACAACAACAAAAAAAAAAAAGCAAAATGTGCTGGGGGGTTTACTTCAGGGGTACAGTGCTTGCCTAGCCTGCAYGAGGTCCTGGATTCAATCCCCAGCACCAGAAAACATCAGCACAACAAAGCCTGCAGAATGCCCAGATCCAGGCCGAGTTCTGGCAGGCCCTTGGCMTCATGGGAGAGCCAGGGAGGGTGGTGGCACAGTATGATGGTTGAGAGTGCAGCAGATTCCAGCCAGGCACGGTGACGTCTGCCTGTAATCCCAGTGGCTGGGGAGGCTGAGGCAGGAGGATCTTGAGTTCAAAGCCAACCTCAGAAATTTAGTGAGGTGCCAAGCAATTCAGTGAAACCCTGTCTCTAAATAAAATACAAAAAAGGGCTGGGGGTGTGGCTCAGTGGTTAAGTTCCCCTGGGTTCCATCCCCAGTACYAWAAATAAAYAAATAAATAAAAATCCAAAARGCGTGCAGATTCCAGAGCTCAGCGGCCTGAGTTTCCAACAAGCTGTCCTACAGCTTGTGAGCTACATGATCTTGAGCAGGTTGCTACCTGTAGTAGGGATAGTGTTATCTACCTCAGAAAGTCGTTAAGARAATCAAATGAGCTAATACATGTAAAAACATTTGGAAAAGTACTTGGCTCACAATAAACACTGCCTCTTATTCTGAGGARGGCTTGGACAAAATATAAACGGAGCACCTGCAGTCCGTCCAGCACTGTAAGAAGAAACTGGCCAAGGACCCACCTGTGCCTTCTCTCCAGATGGTCAAAGTCCAACAGGAAAGTAAAGCTTGGCTCTGAGTATGCGCGATAGGCCGGAAGAGAGAAATGTCAAGCCCTAGAAGCTTCGTGCCCCTGTTTCACGCCACGGGGTCTTTGCCTCTGTGTAACCCCACYTGCTTCACGCTCCCTGGCTACAAGTGTAACCTCCTCCAAGAAGATCCATAACTCAGCCCTCGTCACATCATATTGCCATTGTATAATTATGACCTTGAGATGGTGACCTCTTCCAAAGCAAAGCCAGGACTAGTTGACATGTTGGAACCCAGTACCCAGCACAGTGCCTGCCACAAARTAGGCCCTGAGTGACTTGATGRGATGCCCAGGGAGCACAAGGGAGAGGACAAAGGCCAGAGGCTGGACTGCAGCAAGCCCTAGATAAATAGCTGTGAAATATGAATGCAGTGTGTCCAGGCCAGTGGGCTGGGTGCTGCGGCACATACCAGTAACCCAGGGCATAGGATGGCACAGGGACAAAGGACAGGAGATTGAGTGGCAAGTCCAAGGAACCAGGGCACTGATTCTACCTCCCTTCACAGTGTGCATATCCTCAGGCTCAAAGGTCTCCCTCTTCAACCGCCTGCGCTCCCAGACGGTGTCCACGCGCTACCTCTCTGTGGAGGATGGGGCCTTTGTGGCCAGTGCAAGACAGTGGGCTGCCTTCACGCTCCACCTGGGTAATTATGTCAGCAGGCCCAGGGCCCGGCCCTGCATGTGCATTCACTTGTTCAATCTTCACCCCAACCCCTCAAGGAAAGTAAACCTGGCCCTGGGTATCCCATCTTGGAAATAAAAAGGCTTGCCCAGGGTCCCGGTGAGTCAGTGACTGATCCAAGCTATTCTGATTCCAGTGTCCATGCCCGAGTAAGTGTCTGCCCCAGGAGCAGACATTTATAATGATGGCCACATGTGACCTCCCCGGGAGTAGAACCTTCAGTTTAGCAGCTTCCCTGAGGGACCAGCAAGGCCCAGTGTGATGTGAGATGGGGTCAGGGGTAAAAAAGGCAGGGTTTGGAGCACAAGCTTGGGGCCCCTGAAACCCTTCTTCCTTCCTTCCTTCCACCCCCAGCTGATGAGCACTCCACGAAAGGGGACTTCCCACCTCGAGAGGGCTACGTCCGCTATGGCTCCCTGGTGCAGCTTGTCTGCACCGTCACCGGCATCACGCTACCTCCTATGGTATGAGGAAGGAGGGTGTACCTGAAGGGGTCCCCAGATTCATGGAGAGGAAGTGCCCACAGGGGCAGGGTGGGGGTGGTGAGACCCAAGGGTGAAGGCACCTATTCTCACTCTGGAAACAGTGGGTGGTTGGTGGGTATCTGCCAATGACACCATGGCAATCAGAGGAGCAGAAACTGGCTGGGACGACAGCCTCTGGTCACCTGGACACCTTGCTACCACTCTCCCTACCACCCGTGTGTTGCAGATCATCCGCAAAGTAGCCAAACAGTGTGCTCTCCTCGACGTAGATGAGCCTATCTCTCAACTGCACAAGTGTGCCTTCCAGTTTCCTGRTGGCCCTCCGGAAGGAGGTGGCACCTACTTATGCCTTGCCACAGAGAAGGTGGTGCAATTCCAGGTGAGCAGAGAATACCACAGGAGCATCCTCAAAACGGAGAATGCGGGGAGGTGATATAAGCTATCATCACCTCGGATGCTGCTTACTGAAGGCCTGCCATGGGAGGTCAGAATCATAGACTATCAGGACAGAATCACAGAATGTAGAAAAAATAATAATTAATGTTATTAAGCAATGCTCCTTCCCTAAGAATATTAAGATCATAGTAATAGGATATAAAATTACAGAACATAAGTAAAAATCATAATTGATAATAGTATTAATTATTGTTGAGTAAAGTCTATTAGAATCACAGAATGTTAAGAGAGAATTGCGAAGTGTGGAATATAATAATATTCAGCAATATTATTTCCCAAAGAATATTATCATAGATTATTGGGAGATAAAATCATGATTTGTAGAGAATAACTATTATTATTATTGAACAATATTCCTTTCCAATGAATATTTAAGTCGTCATAGTTTATTAGGGTATAAAATTGAATAATGTTTAAAAAAATGAAATTATAGGCTGGGTTTGGTGGTACACACTTGTAATCACAGCCACTTGGGAGGCTGAGACAGAAGGATCCCAAGTTTGAAGTCAGCCTGGGCGATTTAGCCAGACCCTGTCTCAAAGAAAAAACAAAGAGGGCTGGGRATGTGGCTCCGTGGTAATGTTCCTGGGTTCAATCCCCAGTACCAAAATAGATCAATAAGCTAATTAATTAAACTAAGATTATAGAATCCCACGAAAATAAGGCCATTAGGGACCAGCCGGTGCAGTGAACTTATTTAACTCTAAGTGAGAGGACTCCAGGGCTTCCTCCAGGGCGTGTAGACCCCGTTGGACCTGACGGGGCCCAGGCCCTCTGTGGGCCACCATCGACAGAAGCTTCCGCCACACCCTCGGGTCTCCCCCCAGGCCTCTCCGTGCCCCAGGGAGGCCAACAGGGCGCTGCTCAACGACAGCTCTTGCTGGACGATCATCGGCACCGAGTCGGTGGAGTTCTCCTTCAGCACCAGCCTGGCGTGTCCGCGGGAGCCGGTCACTCCGGTGCCGCTCATCAGCACCCTCGAGGTGGCCTGGCCCGGGGGCAGCCGGCGGGGGGGCGTTGGGGAGAGGCGGGGGAGCTGGTGGGGGAGGGCAGCGACTTCCTTCCCCTTCCTCATCCCACCGGTGGCGCTCTACCCCAGCTCAGCGGCGGGGGTGACGTGGCCACGCTGGAGCTGCATGGAGAGAACTTCCACGCGGGGCTCAAGGTGTGGTTCGGGGACGTGGAGTCAGAAACCATGTACAGGTGCGGGGCGGACAGGCGGCCCCCGGGCTCCAGGGAGCAGGGACCGGGGCCATCAAAGTCCCTGTAGCCCTAACCCCTTGGCCCACCCCAGGAGCCCGAGGTCCCTGGTGTGCGTGGTGCCCGACGTGGCGGCCTTCGGCAGCGACTGGCGCTGGCTGCGCACTCCCATCACGGTGCCCGTGAGCCTGGTGCGCGCCGACGGGCTGCTCTACCCCAGCGCCTTCACCTTCACCTACACCCCGGAGTACAGCGCCAGGCCCGGCTCTGCGGGCGCCGCGGAACCCGCCACGGACGCCGACGCGCTCCTGGAGAGCATCCACCACGAGTTCACGCGCACCAACTTCCACCTCTTCATCCAGACGTAGACGAGGTGGGGCACGGCTGCCGCCGCCAAGGCCTGCGCCCGCAACTGCTCCAGCTGTCAAGTCCTGCTCCCTGGCCCCTATGCTGTGAAAGGGCAAGAAACCTGGCCAGGGAACCGCAGTCTTAAGTGTCACTTGCTTGTCCTTAGGCATGTAGGAAGACACGACCCCAGTGATGCTATCCATATTCAGGGTGCGTGTTTCTCCCAATCTTTATTTCTTCTTCCTGCCTCTAAATCCCTCTGTCTCTATCATTTATCTGTTATCTGTCTATCTATCTATCTCTGCCTCAGTAACTTTGTCTGGTCCCTGTCCCCTCTGTCGATGTCTCTCCTTTCTCTCACAATTTCACACGCTGGGTGGAGGGATCCGAGCCAAGCCTGGGTCATTTGCCCTCCAGGCATCTGTGTCCCGACTTGAAGAGAAAACACATAATTTCACAAACCCTGCCAGAAGGGAGTCTTCTGARTCACGGCCAGCATGCCCTTGAGCACTGGTTTTGCTTGGAGTACCAGATCTGATGGGCAGCACCAAGTCCCCGAGAACCCAGAGTCACATGTGGACACTGGATCCACTTGGAGCACTGGTCCTGTTATGGGGCACCGGAATATGCCACTCCCTGTACTCCTCCAGGGCTGGAGCCACCTCTGTACCCTTGCCTGTGTTTGCTCTCTGGCCCACAGCTGTGGTGGCCAAGCAGTGCCCGGGGCAGCAGGCTGGCTTTGCCATCTTAACCATCTCCCCAGTTATTTCTCCTGCAGGCCCAATAGGATGCAGCCCTGAGGATCAGGGATTCCTCTGCTCTTCTAGAATCAGTCTCTGTCCAGAGCAGATTCTGTGGTGCAGAGAGCCTGCCATTTTGATCTTTTCTAGAGGTAACTGGCATCCCTGAGCCCATGTCACTGCCCTGGGGGGCCACCTATCAGCTCCAGTGACTAATTACCTTACCAGCTACATCCACATCTCAGGCAAGAATGTACTCCAGGCTCAGAGGCAAACATGGTTGCCCTTCAGATAACCCAGACAGAGCCCTTGGGATAAGTGGGCAATAACACAGCCAAAAGAGGGCACTTCTTTGTATGGTCACAATCCATTCCTGACCAGGCTGCCCACATTCTTCTCAGGGAAGGAAAAATAAACAAACATCAGGCAGGACCCTGGCTTAGACTATGGGTGCCAAGGACATGGGTGGTGCCAGTTACCTATACCAGCCCTGGTGGTCTAACAGGGACACCTGGTCTGAAATGGGCTCAGCACTCAAACCCATGAGCCCTTCCTTGACCTCTGAGGAAAAGCTCATTTCTTATAAAACTCCTCCCCCAGCATGTGGAAATTCCCAAAAGACTCTATGGGGAATCCCTTTATGAGCAAATCTCTATTAGGTTTGCTTTTTAGACTCACTGGAGTCCTGTTTAAGTTCTGTGATCCACCATCAGCAAACCCACCGTGAGGAGSAAGGGAGAATCTTGCTCATATCGCATGTGGCTCCTGAAGCTGAATCCTAGCTGAGGAACACAGGGACAGGGTTAAAAAGAAAGTCTCCGAAATGAGTGCCTGCCTTGAAGGGTTTATATGGCATCTCCCGGTGGTGTGGAAGCCGGAAGGAAGCTAAGAGGGCTTTTGTAGCACACCCCGTGGGGAGCGAGGCTCAAGGGCCCATTCGTCCCAGCCCTCAAGGGCTTCCTCTGCCACTCCTCAAGAAAGGAGTCTTGGGAGTCAAGAACCTAGGTGGGCCTGGAAGCCCAGGCCTGGCCACGCAGCAGTGTCCTCCTCTTCTCTCGTCTCAGGGGATCCTACAAGCCTTGGTCCCACCTGTAAGTCTGTGGCCCCCAAAGCTCCGTCCCTGGCCTGGGCCCTCCTGGAGCACGTCACACACCTGGGCCTCAATCATCTAACAGCCGATTTTCTTTCCTCTCCACCTCCTCTGCAGCACCAGACTTTCTATCTCCTTCTCCCAGCACACTCTGTCACCAAGGCCTGAGGACTCTGCTTCTCCTTCCTCACCAAAATAGCCTTTCTCCCTTGTTTTCCCTCCGCTACTGCCCTGCCTTCCAGACCCAGGTCAGATGTCACCTCCTCCAAAAATTCCTCAACTACTTGAGGTAGAGTACCAACTCCATAATTTGTGGGGCCTTAAAAAAAAAAAAAAAAGATGAAAATACTTGCCTCCTAGTTCAAATAACTTCAAGACGGAGACAGGAAATGATGAAATCAAGCACAGAACTCTTCTAAGCACAGGTCACACTCCAGCAAAAGCCTGGCCCCAGGCTTGTATTCCATCCCGTTGCCTCTTGACCTCAGGTCAAAGGGTTTTATGTACCTGGATTGTGAGCTTCATGTTCAAGTAACTTTCATCTCTGCGTGTTCTGATGTCCAAGGCACATCACAATGCCTCCTACGTTGAATTGGTATTCATCAAGTAAATATATTGCATTGCCCGGCAGATGATTTGGATTTTGCAAGTGCAAAATAAAACCACAAGGTGGCACTGTTCTCCTCCCTACCATTGAGTTTTCATTTAGAGTAGTGAAAAACTGTTGGGAGTCAAAGATGACCTAAAAATTTTCTATTGTTGGGATTTTTGGTGGTGGGGCTATATGCACAATTCTGCATACTTCTAAGGAATTTCCAAATACTCTACAACCTGTTTATCAGCCGGAGGCCTGTTAATCCTAGCAGCTCCAGAGGCTAAGGACAGGAGGATTGGGAGTTCAAAGACAATCCTAGCAACTTAGCAAGGCCCTAAGTAACTCAGCAAGATCCTGTCTCTAAATAAAATATTAAAAGGGCTAGGGACATGGCTCAGTGGGTAAGAACTGAGTACCAAAGAGGAAAAATTATGGATTAATTCAGTCCATTTCACATTAGAATCAGCTACAAAGCTATAAAAATTAGCTCTCTAAGCCACACCACAGATCAACCTTGGGGGTGGGGGATGGACATCTGTGTTGTTGGCACACTTTTCTCTGTGGTTTGAGTGAGCAGCTCAAACTGAGAATCATTGCTCACATTTCCTTCTCGTCTTGTAGATAGGGAAACTGAGCCTCCAAGGAGAGCCAGGTCACAGCAGGTMGATGACGGAGTCTGCTATTGATTGGAACCCTGCAACCCTGACTCTGAGGTCTTCTTAATTCTCATTCTTGCATGTGGCAAAATGTAGGTGGAGAGTGTGTGGAGCAGAGTGTGGGTGTGGGGGCGTGGGTTATGGAAGGATGGGGCACATAGTGAGGATAAAGCCAAAATGTCTGACCCCAAACCTTCCCGATTGCCATCTCTCAAGCTGCTGAAATCCCACCATTAGCAGACTAGTCTCAGCTGGGCGCAGTGGCACACACCTGTAATCCCAGTGGCTCAGGAGGATCACGGAGTTCAAAGCCAGCCTCAGGCACTTAGCAAGTCACTTAGTAGCTCAGCAAGACCCTGTCTCTAAATAAAATATTAAAAAGGGCTGGAGATGTGGCTCAGTAGTTAAGCTCCCCTGGGTTCAATCCCATACCAAAAAAAAAAAAAAAAAAAACCCTCTAAAGACTAGACGCTCTTTGTGGTTTCTAGCTTTCTTTTGTTTGTTAATTGGGTTCTCTGCAAAGAGAACTACCGTGTGGGAAAAATTCTCAGACATCTTCCTCCTTGGGGAGGAAGTGGACTGCCGAGGGCACGCACCATGAAGATGACAGGGGGGAGGAAGTGGCTTTAAGGGAAGTGAAATCCAGGTGACATCTACAAGGGTTTGCCAAGTGCCAGTCCTGAACAAACTCAGACACACACACCAAAAGCCCCCCCAGGCTGGGCCTGGCTCTGTTCCAGACCCCAAGAGACAAAGGCAGGTGGTGGTGCCACAGGAATTCTTTCAGTGGGTGAAGTGGTCAACACCTGCCGCAGCTGGCTGCTTGCCATGGGGCGGGGCGGGGCGAAGTCCTGGGGCAGGCTGAGCCTTGGGTCAGTTCTTAACGGACTCACCTGGTTAAAGAATATCAGGTGGGGCCCATCCCACCAAGCTCACCCCTGAGCCCTGTCTAGTCCAAAAGATCACCTCTGCCCCTGGCTGAGCCTGTAAAGGGGCATTACCTTTAGACCTGGCCCTGGGTAGGGGTGTCCTGGACTTGGCTGGTTTTGTCCTGAGTGTGTGTGTGTGTGTGTGTCGGGGGGGGGGTCATCTTAAAGGAAGGAAGGTAGATCTAATGTCGACAGCAGGCATCTTAGAATCACAGCTGTGTGTCCTAGTTGGGTGAGTTTGGCAAGTTCAAGTCACTCAACCACTCTGTGCCTCAGTTTCCTCATCTGTAAATGCAGCTTGCTTGACGTATGTATGTATTTATTTATTTATTTATTGGTACAGGGGATTTAACCCAGGGTATCGTTAGCACTGAGTTACCTCCCAGACCTTTTATTTTCAGACAGTCTCACCAAGTTGCTTAGGGTCTTGCTAAGTTGCAGAGGCTGGTCTCAAACTTGTGATCCTCCTGCCTCAGCCTCCTAAGTTGCTGGGATTGCAGGCATAGGCCACTATACTTGGCTGTTAATGTGGATCTTAATCATAAGATGTTATGAGGAATGAGGGCTGGGGTTGTGGCTCAGAGATAGAGCACTCGGCCAGCATGCATGAGGCACTGGGTTCAATCCTCAGCACCACATAAAAAATACACAAATAAATAAAGGTATTGTGTCCACCTATAGCTAAAATATAAGTGTAAAATAAAAAGATGTTATGAGGAATGAAATAATCGATATATGTAAAGCGCGTTCAATAGGTCCTGACCCATAGCAGTCACTGTTGTTACTCCAAAATCACTTTTTAGAAATGATCCACACCCTACACACCTCCTCCATTTAACAGATGGGGAAATTGATGGTCCAAGAGGTGAGTGACCTTCGAGTGTTTGTTTTCCAGGTTGCGTAACAAATTACCACAGTAGCAGATCACAACTACACATTTATTGTCCCAAAGTCTCCACGGAGCCTAAGCACTGTTTGGCTGCTCTGCTCTGGATCTTCCTAGGCTATAA